AAAAAAAAAAAAAAAAAAAAAAAAACCATCTTAGCCTGCGAACCACCCTCCTTCTTGTCCTAAGTTGGTCTTTCCTGTCCTACATCTTTACATGTAACCTTGCCTCTCTGTTGTTCTCAAGGAAACTCCACCTATTGATGTGGATGATTCTTGGTTCTTACCGTTCTTTTAGATTCAGCTACACTATCTACTTGCTTCCTAGTTTATATGCTTTTTTCTACTCTTGGATTGCTATGAGTTCAGGCCATAGATAGGTATTAGCCTTCTAACTTGCAGTCCTAGAAAACATTTCACAAGTTAACGTGGAACACCTCAGTACATTATTGATGGTTTGTAGCAATTTATATATTGCTTGGGTAAGAGCATGAAGTCTTCTTGAAATAGGCATAGGCCGTAAGTAGCTTTGTTCTTGTGGAGTAAACTAAATTCATATCATTATCTCATTTTTATTACCAAAGTCATCTTGAAGCAACTTTTCATTCCCTCTCCCTCTTATCAAGCCCAACCACAAAGAGACCTACTGTTTGTCGTTGTTCTTTTACTTATTTGTCTAGGATTTCTGGTATTTTCAGCTATGTTCCGAATCCCGTGTTGGTCATAATAGATGTTCAACCAAAGGAGTTGGGAATACCCACCAAAGCTTACTATGCTGTTGAAGAGGTTAAAGAGGTACTAGTCATCAATTCCTTTTAAAAAACTTTCGATATATGCCTATCTCTTATAGCTGACTTGGTCAGATGCATATCATTTTTATCAATCCTAAGAATGGGAGATTTAGTTATCTATAGTACTTTTCTCTATAATTAAGGAGGTATTTCTAAATAAAAATTCTTGGTTTGAGTTAGATTGTTGAAGTTTATTCTTAACTGAATGCTAACTATAGTAATGCTTGGTTATGGTTACAGAATGCTACGCAGAAAAGCCAGAAGGTTTTTGTTCATGTTCCGTCGGAAATTGCTGCTCATGAAGTGGAGGAAATTGGTAACTTATGAGAAGAAATAAGTAATTATTATAGTAGAATTGGTTTCCTCTAATACTAAAGAATGAAGATTCAAATCAACTTTATTTTGCAAATAATTGGAGTTCCATACCTCTATTGTCACCCATCAATAGGAGTGGAGCACTTGCTGAGAGATGTGAAGGATACAACCATCAGCACACTTGCAACTGAGGTTTTTCTTCTTTGCTTACCTTAAATTGTCAGCATCTTCTAACCCTCCATCACTAGTCTCTCTTACATAGGTAGCCACCTTCTCAATCTTATTGTTATCTGACCAGAAGAAAAATGATGCAGGTCACTGGAAAACTTGCAGCTCTAAAGGGTTTGGATGCACGTCTACTAGAGATACGTAGTTACCTTGATCTTGTTATTGATGGAAAACTCCCATTAAATCATGAAATTCTTTATCATTTACAGGTACTATTTGTCTTCTGTTCTACTTATTTAGTGTCTATATATTCATCAATTGGAGTTTCCATCAGCATGTACTGACATAGTGTAGATAGCTGTCACATTTCAGATATGCAGTGGAAAACTAGATTAAGTTTTTTTTTAACCAAAATTGAACAATAATAGTCGAAGTACCTCTCCAAGCATAAACGTTCTCACCACTTCATGTAAATTTGATTGCTTGGGTCTGCATCCTTTTAGCCTCTTAGAGATCCCTTGTCAGTTAGAAATCCTAGAATTCAAGTCACATGGGTTGGCCAGTTATCCTGTTCTAGGGTATAGTAATTTCGGTGAGCTGTGTATCTGTATCCCTTTATTTGGATTTAGATGTCTGCGCTGATCTCTTGTAGGATGTGTTAGAGAATTTAAATAGATTAGGAAATTGAAAATCTTTGTAGGGAGATGCTTTGTCGCTGCATCATTGAAGTTTTTCTTCCTGGGAAAATTTTTGGGGATATATGGTGTTGCAGGATTGGTTGCAACACGGTGCAAGTTGTCCATTGTTAATGTTCTGTGAGGAATGTCAATGATGATACTCCACTATTAGGATCCACACGCCTGTCATTACCATGTACCACAATTCATTTTCTTTTGTGGTTGAAATGTCAAACAATTCATTTGTCTTCAACAGTAACTCAGTTCATTTGCATTGGACTCTTAACTTCCTTGTTATATATCTTTATGAAGCATGTAAGATAAATTATGTCTATATTTTCACGCATTCTGCTCCCAAGACAGTTGGAAAAAAGGCTTATATGATACTGCATTGGATTTTGCTCTGCATGCATTTACCTTTTGCCACATTCCATTTTGCTTATCATGTGTTCTGTCTTGTCAACGAACTGCAGGATGTATTCAACCTTCTTCCAAATCTCAATGTGACTGAGTTAATCAAGGCTTTTGCAGGTAAGTGGATAACTCAGATGGCATTGGCAAGAATATTAAAAATGCTGTTCTTTGTTTTCCTTTTTTTTTTTTTTTTTTGGCGGTTTGGTTTTCTACCTTTATGTTATATCGTTAATTTTCTCCTCCTATATGTGCAGTGAAAACAAATGACATGATGCTTGTCATATATCTTTCATCCCTGATCCGAGGTGTCATCGCGCTTCACAATTTGATCAATAATAAGGTGCATGCCGTCTCTGGACATGGACACAGTTTGTTCTGAAGTAACATTATCTTCAGTAACGTAATTTTGCTGATTAAAAAAAAAACTAAAGTACCTAAATGTTTGAGTTTTTATGCAAAAGGCCAAAAGATTGTTTGCCTTTGTGATTATTGCTTGGCTTCCTAACTTGTTTTGAGCTGAATTTTTGGAGCAACCATGATTAATCAAGTTACCATATTTCGTATAGTTCTTGATTTTACAGGTGTGTAAAGTTTGGCATTCCACTGTAGAGTAAAGATGAAGCACTGTTATCCTTACTAACATGGATATCATAAAAATATGGCCTCAATGTTAATAGTGATGTAGCCACCAAGACTCTGTGTATTTACAACTAAGAATATTCGTAAGATTAGTATGTCTTTAATGTGATATGCAGCCATCTGACTTTTGTGTAAGGTTTACACTGATTATCTGTGTTAATCATCTGACTTTTGTGTAAGGTTTACACTGATTATCTGTGTTAGTCATCTGACTTTTGTGTAAGGTTTACACTGATTATATGTTTTAATCATCTTTAATTTGCAATTTTGATTTTCAGATGCTTAACAAAGAACACGAGAAAGCCGAGGATGCAAAGCCGGCAACAGTACCACCCATTGGTGGAAGCTAAACGAGGGTTTTATCANTTTGCAATTTTGATTTTCAGATGCTTAACAAAGAACACGAGAAAGCCGAGGATGCAAAGCCGGCAACAGTACCACCCATTGGTGGAAGCTAAACGAGGGTTTTATCACTAATTAGGTTTTCAGCCATGGTAAAATTCAAGCTTTGGGGGAGAGTGAACCCGAGATAAGCTATTTCGACAACTCTCATTGAGAATTTCCAGAATGCAATCGCAGAGAACAGGGCTTCAAACGTTGGATTCATGATTCCTTTCGACTTGTAATATGTTGGTGAACTTTACATTGCTTAGCACTTGTACCATTTTCTACTTGTCAAACATTATAGCAATTCATATTCGTTTTATTCGACATTCTGGGTTCCTTCCAATTGATGCGTTGGGTTCAATTTGGATTCTTTACCCTAGACAACTGTGTGTGGATTGATGACCTTCTTTAACATGCCATGTGATAAACAAGAAGTATTGGATGAAGACCCAGAAATCTTATGCTTGTGCTGGTTGTTTATTTTCAAGGACCTTAACTTATCTGAAGTTGAATTAAAGTTCCTACTTCATTATTAGCTGCTGCATTGACATGGGACACTGGACGGGATGCACTTTAGAGTTTACAGTCCCTTCAACTGTGGTAGCAGCTCTTCAATGCAATTCAGGGGTTTATATTACGACTGTTTCTTTCTCACCACAATGATTATTTTCTGTTAATTTTTTTTTTAATTTTTTGGTTCTACGGTTAGAATGTCCGGGTTAGTTTATGCAGATTTTAACTATCTCTCGTCTAGTCCGGTCAAAAGCAGGTTTTTTACGTTGGAACTAGAATATTTATGATAGATAAATTTTTTATGACTTTATTTTAAGCGTTGGGACTAGAATATTTATGATAAATAAATTTTTTATGACTTTATTTTAAGAGGTTGTCAAGTTTTAAAATCAGGACGTATATGTTTATATCAGAACTAGGGTTCATTCCGTTAACTTCTTCAAACTCTTAGTGACATCCCATAAAATTGCCACTGCACTGATCCACTAACATGAGACTGCGTTGACGATTTCAAGGATAATACAAAGTTAAAACGTGAACGATAGTAGAATTGGAATAATTTTTGGAATGTTTTAGGGACCAAAATGATAATCAGTGCGAACTTTTATGGGACAAAGTGTAATTTCCGAAGAGGGTTTAAATAAGAAACCAGCGCTTCAAACAAACGGCGGCGTGAGGAGTGTTCGTTCGTAGCGACGCCGACATTTTCTGTTTCATCAACCTACGTGCTGTGTACCGCTTCTGTTCTGGCTCTCAGTTTTCGGTAGAACAAAGTACAGCAGGTATCATATCATCCTAGACCTGAAACACCACTCAATCTCTCTGCGTATTACTATCTTATCTCTCTTCCCTGTTGCTCTCCCTTCTCTCTCTCTCTCCCGTCTCCCGCCTCCCGCCTCCCGCCTCTGCCAGCCACCTAGATCCAGTCAAAGCCGAAGAAACCTCTGCCCAACCCACCAACCAGCTCCAGACTTCTCTTCTTCTCACTATCTGTGCAACCAGCACCCCTACTGTACCCATCGAGAGAGCACCCAAACAAACCCATATCCAGCTCTCCACAACCACCAGTGCCACCGCTACTTTACCCACTTGCAGAGCTTGTCATAAATCAGTGCAATTCGATTAGATTTTCTCTGTAGTGTTTCGATTTGATTCAATTTGATCTCTCTGGTTTTCCATTTTGATTTGATTCTATTGGTGAAATTTTGCTCGGATTTTGATTTCATGTTAGGGGTTATGCAGTGGGTGTGTCTGTGAGTTGGGATGAGGAAGGGAAGATAGGGAGAGAGGGAGATGGCAGAGAGATTGGGTCCACCAACAGTGGTGGCTACAGGTTCGCCGGAGGAGATAGAGAGGGGTGATAAGGTCATTTTAATAGTTAGAGTTGCTTTTTAGTCCACAAACCATATGGGGTTGTGGTTATTTCAAATGACCGAGGGTTATGTGCATAAAGGGAAAACCACAGGGCCAAAAGGAAGTTTGCCCTTTTGATTTTTTGAGTTCATTCGTCTAGTGTGGTGGTTGTAGAACTTTGATAGCTGTTGTTCAATATTGAAGCTCGTGGAACTGTAAATTAACCTTTATTTGATGTACTTATTGCATTCTATACACTACATACTTCGTTTGACCTGTGATACTAACGAAAACACGGGAGAACTTCAAATTCACACAAGTTGTTTGATGAGAAGATAAGATGTTGAGTTATTATTCTTTATTACTTTATGATTTATCATGGTGAGTACAGCAGAAATTCTTGTGTTGTCCATTCCACAATAAGTTTCTATAGTAATTTACAGCTGCAAACCCATGTATTGCTCCGTGTCCAATGATGGAAAAAAAAGAGTAAAATTTTAAAAGGTTGAAGTACTCGGAGAAGAGAAACGTTGCTGAATTAGTTATCTCCAATCTAGTGAATTTGTGCGCCCGTAGGCCTTTTTCTTCGCCCTCAAAAAAGAAGATTGTTTTGTATTCATACAAAATTATATATCTTTTATACGTCTGTAGATTGTTTTGTATTCATACAAAATTATATATCTTTTATACGTTTGTTTCTTTCGGAATGACATAATGATGCATAGAAACTNTTTTATACGTCTGTAGATTGTTTTGTATTCATACAAAATTATATATCTTTTATACGTTTGTTTCTTTCGGAATGACATAATGATGCATAGAAACTATTATTTTAATTTTATTAGTAGTATTTAGATTCCAAAAGAATCGTCCGATAATTGGAGAGATGGAGTTCAAGAAGGCAAAATTTTAGATATCTCTGATTGTGAAACTTCATTACTTCACTTATGTATTTATTTGATTTTAATCAAGCTGCAGCTGGTTTTTATAGTCTTTTCTCTTCTTTTTTTTTGGTTCGCAATACGTGATCTCTGGAAGGGATGTCAGACTTACACTTGCTTTGTTGTGCCATTGTGTTGCAG